GGATCTTCAGAACTTGCTTTGTTTGCATGTGTCTTGTGACCAAAACGGCTGTTCGGTCATCTGATTGGTACGTCACATTCATTGGCGACCTGTAGCAGATCGTTGCTGATGAACTTGATGAAGACGCTTCGAAAAACTCCGTTTTTTATAGAATGACTACTCACCTGCCAAAAAATCAATGTCGATGGTAGCATTCTTTCCTTTGATGAGACTGCAGGGGTGTCCGTCACAAGGAGTGAGCTTTACTGACCAAACCGTGACATTTTTAGAACCTGTATGCACAGAAAAAAAGAGATGAAATTACGGGCAAAGTTTTACCACGTCGGTCAGAAAACCAACCTTGGTTCAGTTCAGTTTTTAAGCTATAAACTGTCTACCATAGGCATATTGGTTCAAGCTGCTACAGTTTCGATCACCGGAAAAGAGGAGTGTGGGACATACAATCAAGCCTTGGAGGCGAAGGCATGTTCAGTTTTTTCGGAAATTGAGTATCTACGCATGGAAGGGGATAGATTTGAGTCAAGAGTGTCATTAACTGCACTCTGAGTCCCGGTTTCTTGGTCCATGGAGGCCCCGACCCGACTAGGTTTACTGGTTAGTGTTTTTATACTTCGTTTCCAGCTAGTACTCTGTCCACCTCTCGGTCGCTTCTACTCAACAAAGGCATGGGCGAAAAGAGCTTGCAGACGGTCTTCTGGCATGCGGACCAGCGCGGCGTGAGTAATTAACCCATCGCTGGAGAGTTCTTTCTTCCTAAGACCATCTGCCTTCCTCCTCCTAAGACCATCTGACGTACCTCAGCATTGCTAACCCGATGTTCTAACAGGACCTGACCAATGATTCGGCGACACCGCTGGTCAAACAGTGACATCTTCCGTACGTTCTATGCGCGTATAAGGTCTTTCTTTAGCCAGAGAACGACATGATATCCGCTTCTGCTTCAGAGTGGATATGCAATCCCTCTAACGATAGAACTCTTGCAAGTATCCCTCAGTTCATTCACCAGTGTAATGTACAATTCAACTAGGCTGTCACGAGCGGGGACTCGTGACTTCCTAATTAATCTATTTTTCGTCTTTAAAGTCAGCGGAGCGCCCACAGTCAAAGGTTACGTTGCACAGAATCTGGGATCTCCCACAATCACAGTCAAGTCATTGGCTGATGAGGCAGTACCCCGAGAGAGGGTGGACACTACAGGTGGAAGAACTGTTTACTAGATTTTAGGGCAATGCTCGCTTTTCAGCAAATTCCGTACCAGGTCACTGCTAATGTAGAACGGTAATGCGGATTCCTCAAGTAGGTGGATTGTTCGTCGAGGAAGGAGGCATTATAAGCCCAAGAATGTGAATTTTTCTACGGCTCAAAATATTCCGGTTTTTGTCAACAGTTAAACACATCAATGATGGACCAACATGGTGACCTCCTAGCCCTCTAACCAGGTATCACGTTTGAACTAAGGGGCCCCAGGTAGGCAAGTAAACTATCACGTCCACAGGCGGAATGCGGGGCATTAGGATGTCTTCCAGAAACATCTGAGGTAATCTTTGGTGTATCCACATTCGAACGCAGTCGGCTGCAAGATCCCCTTCAAAGAGGAGACTCGTGAAGATGCATCAACTTTCACGAGCGGGTCTAAATACGGTCAGGTTCCCATGTACTCCGGACAAGTTCTTCCAGGCCTCAAATGGTGTTAGCCGCTACGGTAAAACTGCGACTGGGTGCCTTAAAACTCAGCCACAGGAAGAAACCACTTCATCTTCTTCGGGGTTTTGACCAGATGAACTCGGGGATCGCGGTGCGCGCAGCCACAATATCTTCTCTTCGTTTGGTAGCGTAACTTCTAGAAGAATTATAGCAACATCGGCAACGGCAGAGAAATTGAGTTGGGCTTGACCGATCCTTTTCCGTCCAAACTTCTACCTTCTATGTTCACCTGATGAGTATTTTGTGAACCGCGTGTAGAAATGAAACATGCACAGGGTGCAAATAGCATTCTTGACAAAGCATAAGTCGAGCAGTTAACGCTCACATAAAAAAGGTCAATATATCATACAGAACCGTATAACAATCGTACAGTGAGTCTTCAACTCACCACAGTCTTTAAATTTTGTGGCACTTGCAAGGAACGGTGTGCAAAGGACCAAGCTACACACCAACAAGTTGGAAAGTTGCATGGTTCTCGTAAAAACCCTTCAAGACCGAATTCTCAAACTGTTTTACCACTTTTATACTGAAGCATTTTCGTGGTTCCGTTGCTACATGAACTATTCAGGGTCATTTCCTCAAGGTCATTTGTATGGTCCGATAAAAAGTTTCGGTTGTCCCTGTTTATGCTAATATTTACCAGATGTACAGATTAGGCGTTGTACGAAACACTTGCCAAGAGTCTCGAATAACATTAAGTTGAGCCCGACTGTAGGCTTTACATGATTCATTTTGATGGATCAATACAGCCAAGGGTCGGTCACCAAGATTCGAGCTCAGCGTCGAGAAGCAAAGAAAGCCAGCCAGTCAGTCATCCAACCAGCTAGCCAGACAATAGATAGACAGACAGACAGACAGACAGAATGAATTAATTATATTCCAAATGACACCGTCCGTCTACTTTAGACTAGTAAACAGTCGAAAATAACTCGTGTCAATTTTCACACACAACATCTGTTTTACAAAGAGACGTACTTTTAAAGATCAAATTCAAAATTTTTACTGAACACTGGAACAATGGGGTAAAAGGATCGGACCACGCAGACTGTGGCGTAATTTGACCGAATGTATGGGGGAGAAACGTCCTCTGGTGGTAAAATTGTTGAACAAACAAACCAAGCTCTACACAGAATGTTTTTTTTTCAAATAATGGAATTAGGTGGCCCTCTCTCTCATATGCTAGACCAGAAAACATGAAAACAATGCGTCTTTGTCAACATTTGGCCAACATAGAAAGACATTATTTGGAACGCCTTCTTACAAGGTCTTCTACCGCCAGATGCTAAGGCCAAATGCACGCGTGCCGACGGTGGCATCCTAAAGAAGACCAACGCGACATCTACAAAAAACCAACATTGATTGGTCAATATTCCACTTTGATGGCTTCAGTCACCTTCAAAACAGAAGCGGTAAGCTGGGGCAGTAATGAATCTATGTTCCTCCGGCCGCTTATAAGAGAATCTAACATCGTATAGATGTAATATACTACCCGTAAGGTTGCTGAAAACTGTTCGACGGCTGACGAGCACCTTCGCCGTCCAACTTTTATTTCATCAGGTAGGCGCTATGCCCGAGTTTCCGTCAACCTTATGTTCTATCTGAAGCCTAATTACACGAAATTTGACTGACACACTTGGCTGTGTACCAATTTGGTTTTCTCGGAAAACTCTGTGCAGTGTATTGCGAAACTTGGATATCATATGGACGACAACATGAGGTGGCCTTGTGCGGCACATTCAGTTGAAGAAAACATCGTGAACGAAAGATTCACGTGGATTTCAGGTGACTTTCCTCCGTGAAAACCAGATCGGCATGCAGATGAACGTATATGTCAAAGGCTCGGTAAAGCGCACCCAGTCAAGTAAGCTAGTTTAAGGGTAACTCGAGACTTGTCGATAACTTTTGGAAGTAGAATTCTTGGGATAGTTTTCCCACATGTGGAATCAGAGCAAACAGCCATCATGGCCGACAAAACAACCGATTGGATTTTCCTACATCCCATGAAATGGGATCTTTCTTCATTGGAAGTCCATTCATTATCCCTTGAAGCAAAGATAGCAAACGAACCAGATTTCCATAACGCCTAGACTATCGTTACGGCCGGGATCGAGCTGATCCCCCTTCGATCACCGCAACCAGTACGAGCCCTTTTTTTGAAAATGGCCATTATCATCCATTCTCCTTCGTTGACTCGGTCATTCTCCTACGCTCAAATGCAAGCGAACAGGAAAGACAAACGTTGACTGAGGGCTTTGCCAATATCTTTGGAAATTGTGGATGGAAGTCCAGCTGGACTAGAAGCTTGATGGTGCTTGAGCAAACACATTTAGTCGTACGCCCCCGATGCCTTAGGGGGCTCCACGCTCATCGCCCAGGGTTCTACTTCAGCTGTAGGATCCATATAAATGGCATCTCCTGGCTACAATATCTCGTCATCTTTCGAGGCTCCCATCTTTATTCAAGACAGTCACTCCATTCTAATCCTTGATGGTTCCACTCACTAGTAGCACCTTGGAGCCCGTTGTAGGAGCCAAACGGAATAGGTCTCGGAATTCCCGGCTTTCTTGGTTCCTTGGCTTTCTGTGTACGGTCGCCGCATACACTCAATTTCACTTGACGTCTGACAATTTGTCAGGCAGAGTGGTTTTCGGAACTAATGAGAATTCATCCCCGAGTTTCAAGCAGTTCTACAGCGGATCTGGCAGAGCCGTACCACAGACAAACTATCCGGCAGTCTGCAAAGAGGCGGTGATTACGCTCCGGAAGAAATAAACAAATAACGGTGGAGCAGTTGGAAGATAGTATAGAAGACGCTTCCGATGGATTTTCTCAACTTTGGGATCTGCCAGCCTCTCAGTTGTCTGCGTTTCGAGAAAGCGAAGATTGAACGGATGCCAGATGAGCGCATCGTCGGACTCCACAAATGTTGTTCAAAAAGAGCGGCATTCTGTTATTTTTCTGCGCCATCGCTAACTGATACTGATGCGATCGATTTGACTTTGACTATTGGAGGACACTATTTACCCAGTCTGTGGTCTGTACACAGCTGAAGGAAGCCTGTCCATTTGTTCACTCAGGCCTTCGGGAAACACAACGATATTTAGCTCACCACAACAGCGTATTCAGTGCGTCTAAAACTTGTCTTTGATAGTGTCAGAGCTGCATTCGGTTGGGACGCATGCAGGCACGACAAACAGACATCGATCAACCTCCGGCTTGTGAGACTCCTTCACAGACGTTGCCAGACGAACCGCACAGAGGCGACTATCAACGGTCATCTACTCAAGCGAGGATACTTCCGCCCGGCCGGTTAGCACAATACCAAACCCTGCACATCCCACCGCAGCAGCCTCCGGATCACCAGAGGTGCGCAGACGGGAGCGAGTGGAGACTGACGGGGCGGTTAACTCAATCACTGTGCTTGCATCTTGAATTCTCGTTTCTGAGACACAGCACACATCAATGCCAAGCGATTCCAATGTGAGTGCAAGAGCAGTTGTTGTCCTGCTTGCTTCAGAGTGCGAACATTGAACGTGGCCAGATAGACTGGGTGTCGAGGCTTGAAGATTGATTTCGAGATAGCTGAGGATGTCGGCGCCATGTGACGAGCAGATGCTGCACGCCAAACCGGTGCATGACGAATGCTGGGCCTAGAGTAGGAGGGTTAATAATGCGGTAGGGAGAGGGGGAAGAAAAAGTATGTGAAGGAGAAAGAAAGGGGGCGTCAGCAGCAGTGTTTTTGTTTTACAGTCCTGCTATGTGAGGCAAATAAAGCCACTTAGCCGAAGGCACCACGCGACGGCCGATGTGGTATATATATAT